GTATATTTTCCAAATTTTCCTTTTTTTTTTTTTTTTTTTTTTTATGTCATCACTGCCTAAGGAGACAGAAGGAGGCTAGATATGCATTCAGGTTCAGGTTGGAAGGTCACATCTATTTTTTTGTTATTATCTACAATCTATAAATCATCAAGAACTTGTGGGGAAAGCCTTCCCCAGGTGCCAATACTTCCACATCAGAATTTACAACTTAGCAAACCTGTTTCATTTGCAGTGGTCTCATGACTAAACTCCAAGCACTTCAGTACTAACAATAAGGGACTGAAATAGCCCAAGGCCCTTAAGATAACAGAACAGACAAAAAAAAAAAAAAAAAAAAAAAAAAAAAAAAAAAAAAAGAAGCTTTGTTAAGTATTAAATAGTACAGTACCTGCGAGCCAGATCCCCTCCCCACAGCAGAGGTATTAGTGACAGACTGAGCAGAAGACAGATTGGATGAGACAGGGTATTTGTAATGGTTAGAGGAGAGTTTGTCAGTAGATAACCTATTGGGTTTTCTGTCAGCTGGTGGATAGCGCGCAAAGATTTTTGGAGACGGCAAGTTATCGTACAGGCCTGCGTTATCATAAAGCATTTCTTCTCCAATGTTCCTGCTACGAGAAGAAGGAAAGCCATCTTCTGGTTCCCACTGCAACACATACACTTTGGCAGTTAGTAAACAATACACCATGCAGAACCTCCTAAGAGAAATTAAAACATTAGTAATTCTTTTGACCGTAGCAAGCCCTCAGTGTCTAACAAGCACACATTTATGGCTTATGCTTGCGTCAAACTATTTAGAGAAGTGGGGAGGACACAGTGTGGAAAGGAAGCATTGCATTACATGGCTCATAACCTCAGCCCTGTGCGTTTTCCATAGTATGAGCAAACTGGTACTATCCTGTCACCCTTGATGTTTCACAGACTGCACCTTCATTTGTTAGCTCTAGCACCGAGGGGGCACAAGCAGACTGTCTTAACAGGGGCATACTCACAGGCTGCACAGATGAATCAGTGGGATTACATCTGGTACATGAGCTGTTATGTCTTTCGTAAGGCTATATGTCTTTCTAGTGAATACCAGCTGCCGGTATGCTGGCATAATTTGCTGGAGAATTATTCTTCTGAGCTAACCACCTAAAATAGCTACAGGCCCTTCCTTTTTTTTTTTTTTTTTTCTTCTTGTCAGAAAAATGGAAAGTTCAACAACAATATGTCAGTGATTCATTCAATTAATCTTAAAAGAAACCAACCTGGTTGCCAAATACCCTTCCTTAATCCATCCTGGCTGTGGCAGTACACTACTCATACAGAGGCATGAGCACATCCAAGAACTACACACAGACTACTCACCATGCACGTGGTCGTGTGTTGTTCCCAAGAGGGGCTTTCTACCATCTTTCTGACATTGCTAAGACATGACGGAGGACTGAACTTGCAATCCACTTCACACTTCAAAACTATGAATTTCTCTTGAGTTTGGCCTTAGTGGGGGACTTTACGAAGCAGCCCAATTTAAGAGCTGACACAGGCTGCAGCTCCCCTGTAGATCTTGCTAAGGACCAGATACTGCTATGGGTTAACATCCACTATGTGTTAAACCCTATTACACATCTGCCTATGATCAGCTTTGCAATTTATGAAGATGGAAGTGACCACTGTGGTTCTCCTTTGGGATGACCAGTACCTGCTGTCATGAGGAACGCAGCACCAGTGACTGAAGCGTGTTTGGGTTTGGTTTTGTTTTGTATTGTTTTTTTCGAAAGACATCAAAAAGTGCCTGGTGTAACTGAGTCCTTAATTTTGCCAGGTTTGGTGTGATCTAAAAAATACCTCCTCAAGTGAGTATTATATTCAAGGCCTTGGCAACAAATCATCAGCAGGCAACTGCTTTCTAAATGCACGTTGGCTCATGTACAGGTTAATGTAAACAATATGTCCCACACCCCTAAAACTCTGTAGGTGTGAGAGAAGTTTGCAGCCCCCAATCAGAAAAATAGGAGTTCATTTGGAAACTGCCCAGTTGGGCTTTTTAGATAATATAATTTTCAGATGTCCATGCATTCAACACATGCAAACCATTTGTTCTGTACAAATTCAATTCTTACCGAGCCATTTATGCAGGGAACATCATCGTAATGAAGTGCCATTCCACTCGGACAGGCGTAGCCATTGGCAGTGCTTCCCCGATACGGATTTGTAGATATAACTCGCCTGTTCATAAAACTGAACAAAGAAAAATAAAAACAATAAATACCAGCACTTGAACCTAAGTTTAAATGATGATTCAGTGGTGTATTCCCTGTATCTGATTATGTAGCCCGGAAGCACATCTCTTCACTTTCTGCAGGAAAGCTGAGGACAGTTTTCCTTCTTTTGCTACTCACATGTTGCTGCTAGCAACCAGTATTACAACATATGTTCCTGTACTCCATTCTCACAGTGGGGATGTGACTGTGTGAAAGCCAGGAGGGCAACAGCTGTAACTGCTCAGTGGCATGTTTACATGGGAACCTGCTGATCTATGTTATAAACCAGCTTGCCAGCGTCCCATAAAAGTTCCCTTGTTGTCTGCATCGGGGAGAAGCAGGTGTTTCTGGCTGCATGCATGCTCAGGGGGATGCGTAGTTAGGAACCAGGAGAAACAAGAATAAAATCTAGCAAAAATCTTGGGAAAAAAAATAAGGGGAACTTTGATGAAAGTTATATCTATCAAAATTTGCTGAATGTTTTCTTCCTCAAAATCTGGGAATCTTTCATTTCTACATCAGAACTTTTGTCTGGGTAGAGTGTGCACAATGGCACTATCCTTCCCAACTCTCTGCCTGGGTAACTGTGCATGCAAATACTCTATATACTCATTCTCACTCTGTTGCACACAGTGGATCTGAGCCCTCTGGACACTCCAAAAGGGACATGTATATAGATATATAGATATATAGATATATAGATATACACACACATATATGTGTGTGTATGTGTGTGTGTTTGTTTGCTCCGCGCCCCTCCAATCAGCATTGCAGCTTGTTTTACTGGAATTTTGCCTAACACATGCAGATATCACAGACTACAACAGGCTCTGGGTTGGGAGCAAAGATCTAACAATGCAGAAAATGTCAGAATCAGGCCCAATAGCAATAACAACCCCAAAGGTGTGTTTTCCTTTGTAGCATCTGCTGAAATTGAACGAGGTATAGAGTGAGATCCCAAATAATTCCTACAGCTTCAGGTGTGCGTGAATGGGAAAACAAAGCTTTCCATCCCAAACAATGGAACTATTCAGGCTCTGTGCTGACATTCATAAAATATGATAAAGCCCTACTAAAGCAGAGAGGGTCTTCTGTAGCGCTGGCTGGAGCTCAAGAATGCTGTGGTTTCAACAGTTGCTTTCTTTTGGTCTTGGAATAACATGCAGTCCATTGAATTTCTCATTCAGAGGGAGACAGACCTCATCCAACTGTGGCTCACCTGAGCCGCGGGAGACGCGGGCTCACAGGAGGGATGAACCTGCCCAGTTTGATGTGAACCTTTCAGGGCAGGGCAGGGGTGGAATAAGCATTAGCCAGAAGCTTTTCTTAATTCAAACAAACAAACAACAAAAAGCCCAAGATAAATTCCATTATAAAAATGTTTTTAACTTTATCATATCTCATACTTCATTAGACATTATTAAAGGGCTGCATTTGTTTACTGTTCCTCTTAATTAAGAGCATTACTCTTTCTATTTAAGTACCTCCAATGAGAGTCATGCATAATAATCACATCTGGAAACTGGGATATTCATTAATGACATCTGATGCACCTGTAGTAACTACTTCCACCACCAAAGAAAGCTAAGATTTATCTAAGTATCTGCAAATAATTTATAAGTGTTATTTCACTAAACCTCATTAATCCTGTTTACAGATGTATCCATGTAAGTCAATTGTATTCTGAAATGCTAGATGGGAAAGGAAATGGAGAAAACCTGCTTGGAAGAATTTTTTCTTCAGCCTTTCCTAGATACCTAATGATTCAGATGAAGAAAATTGATGGGACTATTAACGAAGAGCCGATCATTTTGCAAAGCATCTCAGGAAATGAATAACTAATAATTCTGAAGCGACTGTACGATAATCAAAGCTTTAATGATAATTGCAGTTAATTTGGAATACTGATATTCACTGTATAAAGGGCGACAATAGTATTTTATTAACACTTAAGTATCAATGTAATTTTTCCTCATTTTCTAGGAGTAGTTGAAAATCAGCAGACAGCTACTCTAGTTGCTTATCAACAAACTCATACAGTCCTTTAAAGACACCAACGAATTTTAATGAATTCTTAATAGGGAAATTCTGCTATTTTGCAAGTTGTTTGACATTCCTTTCTAACATGTGGTCTAGTTGCATATGTTTTTTCACTTGGCTCCAATTAATATCACATTTGTAGAGAAAAAGAAAGCCAAGCAGTATTCAGGGGAAAAGGTTTCCATTCTACTTCTTTCTTAAATGTGGTTACTGCTAGAAGCTGACTGAAGCAAAAATACATGTCAACACAGGATAAACTTTGTAAGCCCTATTAACTTCAAAACAAATATTAACAAAGTTGTAAGCTAAGTGCATTTTGATTCTATCAAAATTATCTGGTTTTCACAAAACTGGGCTTGTGGTAACACTGAGTCACTTTGATTTCTATCAGAAATCATTCAAACTAGATCCTGAATGAAGCTGCCCATGTGCCCTCATTAAAGCCCTTTAACACCTTGCTAACAGCAGGACAGCCTTCTTTTGGAAAACTCTGAAGCTTTTGCCTTTTTTTTTTTTTTTTCACTTTTAGTGTGTTTAAAAGTATGATGGGGAGATGGGGTGTGATTCTCTCTTGTCTTAAGTCACAAAAATTCCAAATTTGTGTTTGGGAGTGTCACTTTGCATGAAGATGAGGGACAACACCTTTGCCAGGTGTCTTCTCAGGCCACCCACTTTCTGAGCCTGGCAAACCATGGGGTACATCTGCAGCAGGGCATCCCACCTGTCCCAGTGATTCCTCCACTCCCATTTCTAAACTAACTCATCTAGCCAAGTCTCTTCCCACCAAAGCTTGTGTGAATGCCTAAACCAATTTGAATATGTAAATCACTATATATGCTAAGTGTGCCTTACTTTTCTTAGCACAGGATCAGTAATGGGGGATTCACTGTACTGATTTGCAATTTAAACAGAGTTTCTGTGCTGTGCCCTAGACACCTTCCCAGCTTCCACCTCCTAAATTAAAACCCACAAATTAATTGGACTGGTGCGAGCTTGATGAAGTTTTTAATTAATCATGAAGATTTTGAGAAGGAAACAGGGAGAATGTGACTATCCAAGATTAAATTTGCCAATATATGCTGTACATATTGGCTATATGTACAGCAAATACAGCCAATAGATAAAAATGAACTATGTAGCCGCATATTTCAGCATATTTGTACTCTTCCAGGGATAGTTCTAAGTCTTCAGGAAAAATAAAATATTAAAATATAGCATTTGATAAGGAGACTGACTGAAAAACTTAGCAAAGATTTGAGTAAAGTTGGATAGCGTCTGCATCTTTTACAGAACTTAGCAGGATGCCAACAGGATAATCATAAACACATCTAACATGCTGCAATGCTGAAACACTTCAGGAGTTCAGTATCTGGCAAAGGGGGGGTGAATTTTGATAAGCTGTCTTGGCACTGGAGTTAACATACAGATATAAATTCTCAGAGTACTGGCAACACCCGGGTAGCTGAATGCCTCTCACCAGAAGGTCTGTTTGGCAGCCTGGATGACGCTTGCTGTCATTTCCACATCGATGTAGTCATAGTGCAGAGCTCCAGGGTCTGTTGAAGACCCTGTTTCGGCCAGCAAAATTCCTATCCATCTCCCCATGTCTTCGGAGGATGATGCCTGTGAGGGGAGGGTAAGAGTGTACATCAGGTCTTTAGTCTGCCAGTGAGCTGAGCGTTATTTCAAAACATTGCATTCTTCTTGGCTGACAAACTGCTACCACACTGTATGAGAGGTTCTGATTTCTCTCTGCTGAACTCCTGAGAACCCAGGATTTAAATCTAGAAGGAGTGCACTATAAGTAAGCTATGCTCTTACCAGTTATGATGTAATAAGAAGTCGGCAAGTTCCAGAAAGAAGAAAAACTAATAATTTAAGGCCAGTGGATTTAGATTCAAGTCATGCTTATTTTAGACTTCAGAACACTGAAAGCTATAATTGAATTATTATCCTATGCTAGGCTGGGGGATTTTAGTTAGGATGACTCTTGAGAAGAAAATGTTAGCGCTAAGTAGAAATGAGGGGGAAAAAAAGAAATAGTAGAAGAAATTTTAGTGTTGCTTTTTGAAAAATTCCAACACATTTGTGTAGATGATGGCATTCATTTTCCTAATGGCACAAGTACAAACATGAACACTATTAAAATAATTTTTAATTTTTCACATTTTGCTTCAAGCAAAGTTAAACAGTAGCAAAATAAATAATGGAAAATGGGGGGGGGGGGGGGGGGGAATCTGTGTGGTTTCTAAATTTCTTGTTCTTTTTAAATATTTCACTGCCTTTCACAGTTTCTTGACCTGCTTTCTAGTTTTTCAGTGTCTCTGAATTGATCACATATAACAGGCCTGGTTGCAAGGACAGGAGACAAACGTTACCTGCAGTTGGAAAGCAAAAGTGGTCAAAGTGTCTGCCCTGACACTGAGAACAAAATGGTTTCCTCCTCCTATATCTCCATTATACTTGGCTTTAAATGTCTTCTCATTCCACCTTTCAAAATATGATGAATAAAGCCCCTCAAAACATCCTGAGCCACCTAACACAGATGAAAGTATGACCTTCATAGTGCAAGGAGTGTGCCAGTGTCTACACGTGTGATGTGTGGAGACTCACCAGGGTGCTGGCACACTGTATTTCCTTACTGCAGAATTACCTTAATACAGATACAGACTGAGCAAAAGTGGTTCACATAAAGCAGCAGACAAATGAGAGTTTGCCATCAACAGTGATCCATTATTGAATTATTGCTCAGTTATTTACCCAAAGTAATTATATCCCTGATATAAAAGTGTGTATAGGGAAGGAGCAGGGATATTTTAGGAACAGGTCAAGGGAAGGTCAGTGTAGAGAAAAGCATCTTACTGAGAAGATTTCTGAACTGCATTAAATCTCAGTTTTTTCGCTGCCTACAACCCTTAATATTTTTTTCTCCTTCCAGTATTTATTATCCAGCTCTGCAATAATATTATTCAAAGGATATTTTTGAATAGCCAGGTTGTATGAAAGTGCTTCTCTAATTTAGCTTGTGGGTGTTCCTACAAGTCATAGCCATTAGCAACCACTGCACCTCGAGCACAGCGACCTCCTGCCCATTTCGGAGTAAGCGGAAGGTCAGGGGATGCTTCGAATCCAGTCCCGGGATGACTTCACAGCCACGGAGAGGGATAGAAACGATGTGCGTCTTCAGATCTGTCCTGTCCTTGTGGAAAATGAGTTTATTATCTTTCACTCTGCACCAGCGCTCACGCCAACGGTTATTTGAAAGCACATTGAGATATCCTGCAAAAAAATGAAATGTGAGATATTTTACTCCTGATTTCTGTGGAAAACAAAAAAACCAAAAAACCCTTACTTTTCAATTTAATACTAGCACTTAAACAAATTATACCTCTTATAATAGAAAGTCCAGATGGATTTTAGGAAGACAAGTAGATGACCCTGCCCTTTCTTTTAATAAAAACTTTCATTGTGCCAATATCCTATAAAAAAGCATATAAATATGTGATCCTGCTCACGTGCAAATGACTGTTCTGTGTTAGTCACTGCAGTGGCTGGATGAGCAGGAGCACACTGATCCCCAAGACTTTAGTAAGAATGGGAAAGGGACAGGGATAAAAAGGTATGTACACAGCCAATGTGCTCACGCAGCTCTTTCGTAAAAGACCCAACTTCTCCATGTGTAATGGCCAAAATTTTCTGGAAAAATCACAGCTCGTATTATATAATTAGGTGATGAGCTAGCTCCTGTAACATCCAAAATCAGTGCTTTAAAGACCTACTAAGGGTTGATGTTATATGTTCTAACTTCATTTAGAAAGAAGAATGCAGCTTTCGTTTGCAACACTTTTAAAGAAGAATTTAGAAGATCACCGCTGATGCCAAGAAAAATAAAATCCATATTGGTTTAAAATTCAAGAAGTAAATGTATATGAAATTTAGCTAAACTTTAAGACAAAAGTTTAAACAAATCCTTTTTTTTTCTCCCAGGGGTAATACTGTACCTTTACAACAAATCAAAATTTCATGAACAAATTGCCTTTTAAAAAAACAAAACACTTTTCTTATCATCCTCTGTATCAGATACAGTGTCTAGGCACATAATATTATTAAATGTTAATTAAAGTATTTTGTGTTTTACCTTCTCTATACCATAGCAACGATCATTCGAGACTCAAGCCTTAAAACTAAGACAATGCCCCATTTTCCTGCCTTATTTAGTTTGGGAAAAAAAAAAAAAAAATCTTTTACTTTTGCTTCCACATTACAAACAGTACATGAATTCAGCATGTTGCTGCTTCCAAACAGCCTATGAAGAGGGAAAAAAATTATATCATGCACAGGCCAGAATTTATGTGAAAAAATTGTCTTCTATCTCAGGTCTGATTTTCATTTAATCCTGTTGGATAGCTATCTCTTTGGTTTTCATTAAAACTATGACTTATCATTAATTTTTCTGGGTCTCCCTTCCAACATTATGGTTCCAATGTCAAAGCTTGATCCAACAGGATATAGCAGATCAGAATTATGCACAACTTGGAAGGTGCCATAAAAAAAAGGAGGATGTGCACAATCCTCTGATTTTGGCTCCTTGTGATGATCACACACTTCAGCTCTCCTTCCTCCTGTAACACAATCCTGTATAGCTGTGCATTATAATATAATCCCTAGAAATTGAAAACCTTTCACATGCAAGCCAGCTGGCTTGTTTTGGAGTGAGAGTCCTTTTTTCAGACAGTACTTTTTTTCCCCCTCTGCTCCCAGTGCACCTCTCAGAAAAGCTCTTCCAAACCCTCCTACTTCACTTGAACTGAGTAGTATCCCATGCTTTTCCTCCCACATATATCCCTCCTTAAACCTTCCACAGATGACATGACCAAAATGCCTTGAGTGTGTTCCCAGCTGGGATATTAGCACTTCTGCTTAGCCCAGGCGGTCAAAGACCAGTGATGCTGTAGGGAAGAGCTTTGCCATGACTTTGAATGTAGGTGGGTTTCCATTTCCACTCTAGCTGGGTGTCCCCTGCAGCTTCACTTGGATTCCCTTTGTTCGTGGGAGGTAGTGCCTTGCGAAGTGTAAAAACCTTCAACTATGGAGCAACCTCCGAGAGGCCATTGCACTGAGCCAAATTTCTGGTGGTGAGAAACTCCTTATGTAAAGATTTCCTGCAATGACCAAAGCCCAGGCACTTACACATTTTTCTATAAAATCTGCAAGTGGTGTTGAGTAGAACCAAATGCAGGCAATAGTAATGGCTATATTTATGTCCATATCCAAAATAATGACAGAAATACTAGGAATTAGATTGTACAGCTGTGGTTAACATCTCACATAATACAGAATAATCAACAGAGTATGAGACCCCGGAAGTTTGAGCTTCTATGGAAGCCAGATGCTTCGGACAGTGCATCTGGCTGGACGCAGCCTTTCCCAGCTGTTCTTTTGGTTGATAAATCACATCTGTACTTAGCTGATGTATATACATATATACACACTTATTTAATCAAAGATTGCTTACGTGGATGATTCCCAAAGTGTGATCTGAGAGCCACCTGTGATCTATGAAGTTCTCACTGGTGGTTCATGGATCTGCTTCTTTCACACTGGGCAAGCATTTATCAGACTTCATGCACAGATGAGTTCTGCCAGCTGCTGCCTAATCACAGATTTCTGGGCTTCCCAAAGTTTTCCCAGTCAAGTAAAGGAGAAAAGGCAAATCCAAATTCAGAATCCAGTGTAACTCTTTCGTAGCTTGCTTTCTATGGATTTTTTTTTTTTGGAAGGAACTGGGAGAAGGATGGGTTCGACCTTATTTATGTATGGGAATGGTACTTAATAATACTGGAGCACCAAAAGGCAAACAGGAGAATGTAAATACACATTGACAATACCAGAGCTGTGAGGACATCAGCTATGTGGATTGCACAAAGTCCTAAATTGTACGCAAACATTAACAACTAAGATACGAAACATAAGCATTTTCTGCATGCTTTTTTATGCACTTCCATGGTGCTGCCAAGCACTACAGCTGTCATATGGACCGATCAACATTAGGAGTTAAAATAGCTTACTAGAAATTTGTTACTTTTGCCCAATATGTACCACTTTAGGAACCCACAATTAAACTCAAGTCACTTTGGTTGAGGCCAGTCGACAGCTGTCTTGATTGCTATCCCATAAAACCTCACCATGATCCATCATAAAAGACTTGATCCCTTCCCAAGAACCTTCTTCTAATTCCGACTGCGAATTTATTTCATAGTCCAGACTATCTTCATTTTATATCCACTTACTTGAAAACAGCTCTTGCTTTCTGCTTTTTTGTCCACAATTCTCTTGCCCCTCACCTTTGCAAAGAGCAATGACATTCCTTCTGAACCTGTGCTACCGTTCTATTTTAAAAGTCAAGTTCTCTTAGTCTCTTTTCGAATGATAAGGTCTTGATTACCCTACTCCTCTTTCAGTCTGAGTGCATCCTTCTGATGTTGGGAGAAGAATCACAGCAGTAAAAGCAATTTTAGAGGAATTTCTGAGCTTATAAAACTTATAAAGTTTTAGTTGCAATGTGCATTTAAGACTCAAGGAGAAAAATCACTTACCACATGTTGGAACATCTTCTTCAGCTGATGAGGTCTGTTCATCTGTTGATGGCTTTTTCTTTCCTAAACCAATGATCTTCGTTATTTTTTTCCCTGTTACTTTAGTCACAGTGCCCTTGGCTTCGGATTTTGAACTTTTTTTCCTCTTCACTATTAAGAAAGCAAAAGTGTGTATTTTAGTGTGTTTAAACTAACCAACGAATAGAGAGAACCTGAAAAAAAATAGAAGTTCAGACAAACAAACCTGTGCAAGGTGAACATTTGTTGCAGACAAAGTTGCAGACTGCAATGAGATAAACTTTATATGCCCTTTGTAATGCACACGCCTATAAATAACTTCTGTGCTATTAAAATCATGGCATTCAAAGGTTCAGAAAAACAAAAATCAAGCTTCTAATTTAATTTAATCTATTCAAGCTGAAAGTCTGTTTCCACAGGAGTAATCATCTAATTTATCAGTATCATCAAAGTACCTGCATATAAATTTAGCTCATAAACACAAGAATAAAAACCCAGCCAGATGATCCTTCATTGTTCCTAAACAGTTACATCATAATACTTCTACAATTAAGTACACAACAAAGACAGAATATGCTTGCCTAGCAAAAATACTGCTGCCATGTACAATTAGGTTAAGATATCTTATCACAATGGGCCTTTCAGAAAGACAAGATGTCAAAATTAACGACTAACAATTAAATTAGAATCAGTATAAGCATTTAATGCTTAGAAATTATTATGAGGGCTTGGAAATAAAAAGCTCTGCTGAAAAGAGGTATTTTGCTAATATCCAGTCTATGCTTCCATGAACTCAATAGGACACTAGCAATATTACGGCTCTGTGCGCTGAGCCACGGTGAGCTGCTGAACATATCATAACATGGCAAGGACTATCGGTATAATTTTTTTAAGTGCCTACCTAATATCCTAACAAATTAAAAAAATAGTTTCTAAGATCAAACAGAATCAGAAGAAAAGACTTTTTATTTGCAAAACAGAGCAAAGGAAATAAACTTTCAGAAATTGCATTCAGTGGCCTAATGTGGAGTCCATCAACAGAGCAAAAGTCTTTCTGCTAACCGACTGGGCAGCAAAAGTATGCACCAACTTGCCATGATTTACGACTGTGGAGAAAAATACATTTAGGATAGTTACTGATTGAGCTGCTGTAACTTTATCCCCAACACATCAATTCCCTTTGCAACAGGGAATATTTAGTGGTTACGGCCTTGTGTAAACTGAGGAAAAAAAGGACAAAATGTTCATATGAGAAATGACCATATCAATTGATGAACTAAGAAGAATGAATGGAAAATAGGAAAGCCATTTGGGGCTCACAATGGGTAATTTATCACATTTAGATTAATTGTTGGCAATCATGGAACATTATTTAGAAATTCTGTCTGTAGCCAAGACTGTACAAATCTGTCACCTGCTGCATGTGGTGCTGAGGGGTAGAGGCAGCTTTTCAGGCGCGGATTGCCGCTCACCAGCAAACTCCAACACAGCAATGCACGTGTGCAAGCAAAGGTCTAATTCTCTCTTCCTAATGGAAGGGTGCTCACAACTGATATTATGCTCTCTGAACATGCAACAAGCTCCCCTGTTCAAGGGAGGAAGGCTGCCTGTCCCATCTGCCCATGTCAACCCCTGCCGGAGGGAAGACCCGAGGGCAGCACCGGCCCATGGACAGGTTTCTGTCCCACGCAGCGGCAGCCGATAGCTGGCTGTGGCTGTTGACTGGGGAGGAGATGAAGCTTCTGAGACAGAAGCCCAAAGGAAGAAATTTCAGCAGCATGAATGGAGAGTGGAATAAGCCCGTTTCAGTGTTTTGTTTTTTTCTGCACTATCTTCCTACTGCTCTTTTATTCTCCTGCAGAACTGAGAGGCAGCAGAGACAAGGCCTTCATGACTTAATCTTTTCGAGTCCAAAGAATATACTGATTGGTTGACTGCCAGTGATTTTTGTCACAGAAGCCTTTTTTTCTCATTTCCTTCCCCACAGCATAAGGAACAGCTGGTTAAGAGGGAAGTAGAGGCTGGCCAGAGGGTGAGGATGGGAGGTTAACGCCCTCCGGAGTGTTCCTTCCCACATACTCCCTTAAGCATTTCCTATCCATTGTTTAAAAAAAATAGTGTAACTTCATCCAGAACCACTTAAAATGATGACAGGGATATTTTAATTCCCCTGCAGTTATTAACGCCTATTATTTTTATTACTACATATTGATGGTCACAATTTTCAAAAGCAACTCCTATTTATAATTACCCTCCCTGAGACGTCTAAGCTGGGCTGGTTTTCCAGTAGCACATGCTCCATCAGCATGTCTCCTGTGGGGCACCTGACCCACCAGGCACTTTTGGACATCATGGACAACACAGCTTTTGGGTTACAGAGATTTCTCAATAGGTTTCACAGGCTAAAACAGTACCACACTTTTTGAAAGTTTAGTAAAAGATTTTACAGGGCAAAATCTAACCACGTACCACAACCTCTAGAAACCACAAAACCTGATGTTGTTCCATACTGTTGGGTATATCAAAGATCTGTATAGTCAGGTAATGTTGGAAAACGACTCAGGGAGAAGATAAAGGAAATGAGCCAAAAGGCAAGACAGCGCTGGCACCAAGGCCAGTATTGACATTATGCTCACTGCAGCTCATATTACCTGAGAGCTGCTCAAAAATGTCCTATCTAAACGACAGCACTGCTATATGACAAGTTAATGAAGTCACAGGATTAGTCCGCTTTGGGGAGGAGGGAAGGGTATGGGGAAGAGAGAATAGGGGTTGAGTTATTTTAGATACAACTCAGACAAAATTCCCCCTGGGTTTGGGATGTGCCTCTGTTAGATTATAAGGACTACAAAACATGCATTGCCCCAAACTAGTATCTGTAAAATTATATACATGTATACTGACAAATCCACTGATATTACATGATTACGTACATTTTAGTATGTTAATATAAACAATCGTACATATTAGTTTATACGTATGTGTATTTGTGTGCACTCACATATATATAAACTGTGTATATATAGGTATACATACATATACATGTTTACATACATATACATGTTTACATACATATATATAAAAAATATTAATAATTCTTTCCTTCTAGTACTCATTGATAGCTTTTTTTTGCTCAGAAGCTACACACCCACTATTTATGTTGCCACTATACAGTTACTGTTAGTTGCCTACAGTAGTTGCCTGAGCTCTGAAAAACTGTACTTTTGAACACACAAAAGGCCAAGTAGAAATTTCTACATTGTTTCCTCGTACTACTTATACAGGTTTTCCCTGCACAATGACAAAATCAAATGCCTTCTGTTATTGCAATATTTTAAAGATTCTTGACATAATTCAGCTTTCAAGTTAAATTGAATCCTAATAAAAATATTCAGAAACGTTACTGCTGATTTTTAAAAGACAAAACCCAGGTATTTTGCTACCCATCACTCCCTATATGAATATATTATTTACATCAAGCATCTCTGCATCTGAGACATACCTTGTTCTTTTCCATTGCACACAGTAGTGATGCCATTTTCCACAGCACCTTCCCCATCTGAGCTTGGCCTCTCAGATGACAACTTCTGCAGGGACAAAGAGATTAGTTGATAAACAATGTCGGCACCTTTGCCAAACGAAGTGTCACAAGTCAATTTAAAAGCATGCATACTGTGAAATAAAACACATTTCAAGCTCTCATCCACTTGGAAGACAAATAGAAGATAGTAAAAAATTCAGTTTTAAGGGGTTTTTTTACATTGCGGTATAGGCTTTAGCAAAGCACAGGAACCACAAAATACGTCTATGTTTGAAAATACAGTCAAAACAGTGAAATAATCCTAATTCAGTGCCTCTTACTACACAATATATTTTTAATTAATTTCTAGACTCTAAATGTTGCTGTTTATTAATCTGTTAAGGAACGAACAATTACATGAATCAGACAAGAATAAGTTTTAAATTATTTCTTCAAACAATGCTTCACATGTGCATTGACAATTACAACTTATCAGAAAACAGTGCATTGGTACATGGTGCTTCAAGACTTTCAGTATCTGCAAAAATAAAGACGCTCTTGAAGCAATTTTCTTAGCACTAATTATACTGTAATTGTTGTATACAAGATACAGGATGAAGCCGTATCGAGTTTATGCCGCCACAGTTTTGGTACCCACATTACTCATGAGTGGTGAAGCCATGAAGAAGATGTACAGATTATTGCAAAAAGAAACCAATGAGAAGTTTTGCTACTCTTCTTTTAGGGCATGAATTTTAGAAAACAACTATTTTATGACACTTAGAGATACTTTTTTAACACCGTGCAGGTGTGTGCAAGCATGCAAACACAACAGCTTTTGCCTTCTGAAATGAGGAGGTCTGAGCTGTCACAGAACATGCTTTGCTCTTAATTCTCCAGGCGCAACGCAATGCAACACTATTGACAGTAGCGTCCTTCCATGATGTGGGTAGAACTTGCCAGCAAGAATTTGGTGAAAAAACCTTTTTCAGAGGGACTTTTAAGCAGGGCCTGCAAAGGGGTGTGCTCACACAGATACCTTAACAGGGCAAGGGCTTTAATTGGTGCTGGTAATGTACTGATTGTTCACTTCAGGGTTGCTCTCCTTCCTAATTCTTGCTCTCATATGCTGCTGGAGACAACCCCATGTGAATGGACAAGTTTCTGTGTTGAGGCATGAATGCTTGAAAGGGTCCACCAAAACAGACCTCAGCATGCCCAGGGAACTCTTCAAGAGCCAAAATAAAAGACTTTCCCTTAAAACTTTTGTACAATCCTCAGCTATTCTTCCCTGAGAGTCACATCTCTGCTGGCTCTTTGCACTTGACAGAGAGCATCTCTGCACCACAGCACACGTACCAGCCCTGCTTAGTCTGCACCCTTGGAAATGGCTAAAGAGGATCTGCTAATGGATACAAGCCAGTCTGCCAGCTGTTTGTGACCAAATGAATAGTCGTGGCAGAAGTCTTCATTCTGTAGGACGTATGCATGTATCCAAACAAACCAAAACGACACAGGGGCTAGTAGTCTAAAACAGGAGCACAAGTCAGCAAATAGTTCGCACCAGAAGATGGTCTAACATGAAAAAGTTAATACATGAAATCCAGAACCTAAATTCAATTTCAACGTAGTGGTGTGTACATCTCCCAAACCATGCAGTGTCTAGCAGTCCCTCTGTAACAAGCAATCACAAGGAATTTTGCGTTAAGCATTTTGGTAACTTCACCTTTTCCAGCTCTGTCTTGTGCACTGGAGAGCTAGATAATGGCCCATCGGAGTCTACTGCTCCCGTACAGTTGCTGCACACATCTTTTATAACCTTAGGAGACAAGGCAAAACACAATTATTCATTAAACACAAATCAGATAAATCATATATGAATGTGAGGGGGAGATGGGAAGGAGAATCATGCAGACATTTACTAGGCTGGCAGGTTTCAGGCAGGCTGAAACTACACCAACTTCTCCACGCTGCCTCCCTAAATCATTTCACGTATAACCTGGAGGAGACATAATGTCTAGAGGTGGAAGGTTTCAGTTTCTACACAAGCTAAGCTACAAGGCTCTCCTGAGTAAAGAAACCAACAGCACCGCTGATTTCCATGTGCTAGTTTTGCAATACGTACTCAGCTGACACCACCAAAATAACTTCATTACGATGACAAAAAAGTGGGATTAGATCCAAGGTCCCACATATCAAAGGACAAGAGTTTTGCATAATACACTACCCAGCCGCTCTTTTTTTGCTATTGGAGAACTAATGAAGTGCTGATCGACTTACAGTTAATACCGCACAGTGGTATTTTGTGGTATTTTTGTATTATACTTGCACTTTGACATGAAGGTATAGGTCAAAGTAATTCTAAATGTGTTCTCAGAAATGGGAACGGCATTGAGTCTGCTTTTAAAAAGCTAAAAAAAAAAAAAATCCAGAACCTGGAATTCACTGAGATTTTGAAAGAATTTTAAGAACTTCAAAAACTGAAACTATATAAATGTAAAAATATACCATGAGTAAAGACTTTTGATGATTCCCTATGGACATAATTAAGTCTTTCATCTCTTGTTACCACCAGCCCATTACCAGTCTGAAATTGCTTCTTCTAATGAGAATAGGTCCCAGGTCTCCATCCAGACTCATGCTGAGGGGGTGCTGAGCTCCTCACTACTGATTACAGCAGCCACATAGGGACAGCAGAGCCAAGCGAGCTAAGAAAGAAAGGCATCCTACTCTGCTGGAAGCATTACTGCTAGACATGCAAACTTTCCCCTTGACATGGACATGTATGTGTTTACATATCCAGCTCTCCCTTTCACACGGTTTACAGCAAGCTTGGCTGGCAGAGAGGAGGATCTGGCCTGAGACTCACAGTTCCAGGGAAAAAAAGCAATTAGCTAACTGTCAAAATCCAGATTTCTGAGGAGGAAAAGCAAAACAACAAACAACATCTTTTCAGTTTTGAACTGAACAATATTGATGTGGAAGCCATTAAAAAGCTGAATATGGCACCAAACAGCTCTTTCACAGCACTGACGTGCCCTTTAAGGGTAAATCAAATCAAATGAGTATGGGCTTACAAAGACCCTGTTGTTACAACTCATGAGCATGTCATGAATTACAGGGACTATATTCCATAAAGAAAGAAAGAGCACCAGCCCCATTTTGCAGATGGTGCACTCAGGAACAAAAGAAAGATTAAATCCCTCACTCAATGTCACATAAAAGAATCAAGAATCTAAGCAGGACAGGGAAATGAACCTACACATTTTTTTCTGAGCTAGTATCTTGAAACACTTCAGCATCCTTTCTTGACTTGAACTGTTCTTGCCTGAACTTCCGTAGATCTTGTCCCAGAAACATACACACAGTATTTCAAGGCACCTGATGTCCTTTGTAACAGAAAGTTTAGATACAACTGTTGCAGAGCATTTGTATGTCAAGAGTTAAAAGTAGCTCTAAATTCCCCAAAATCAATTTTTTTTTAATGTATTTTGTTTTCCTTTCAATTGCTGGTCTTCAGGATGGTGTAAATACACTGCTGTTTTCTTCCGTACAGAAACGCATCCGTACAGCTTCTGGGAACATTCATTTCTGTCTCCTGCATGACCCTGATTCAATGGCTCATGTTTTCAGCATCTGCTCACACCACACAGTTAATTTTGGCAAAGGCAGATGGTAATGGGAGTTACAGACAGAACAGAGGGAAATGATTTGGCAGCACTAACTGAATAGTATGTGCAAAGTCATGCACTCAAGTAAATCCGGTTCTTATCATACCTCACATATTTAAGGAGAAACTAAAGTGCTTAATTGGGTTGTAATTAAATTTTGATTAAAAAAAATGACACACTATCAAATGGAATTTTGTGGTGAGATCTGAAGCAAATGCATATTCAAGGATCCAACACTTCATTTGGGTTCAAGGGGTCCACTGGCAAAGACTTGCTCATCACCTCCTATGTGCAATTGTGTTCAATGCACAGCATAAAACTCATACTTCTACAGCTCACCAGGATGAAATGCCTTTAACATATAACGGTTGCCTGGATGCACTCTCTATAATTACGTTTGCAGACAGCTGCCATTATAAATGTGGTTTTCACATGCTTATAGCTTTAACTCAAAATTTTAAGGATAAAACATTCCACCAGTGTTGCCAGCTTGCATAATTTCAATCACAAGACTCAGAGTTCTTGTCAATTTTTTCTGTGTTCCATATCCTGAGTCATATGAAAACAAAGTATCATCATTTTCATTAAAAAACAGTTGTGAGCAAGAGTGAGGAAAGCAGGTCAACAAACTTTTATCCATTGCAATGAAATGTGTGAAAATATGAATAAATGTATCCCAATGGCTACAAAACTAGAAAGCAAATAAAAGGAATCCCCAAATGTGTTAATTTTAATAAAATGGCATAATCTGTACTGAGAATACTTTGTAATTGCGCATACTCCATTAAGAGTTTAAGTTTTCCCACTCATTAGAAAAGGGATAACATTCTCTTTTTCTCACCACAAATGCCTTTGCACATTACATATACAAAAACACAGGGTGATCTGCCAGGAAAATCAAACTGAGATCATAAACTGACTACGTATTCAAATATTTAAAATATATGAGCAAATGTAATCAGAAAATTGACAATCATTAATTTATTTGGACAGCTTCAAAACTAAATACATTAAAAATAATCTTCTGTTATTCAATCACAAGAATTTTAAATGCCACAATTACCATTACCGTGTTACAACTAGTACATGTCAGAACTTCCTCTTTCACAATGCAGATCTGGAAATGCTTGTGCAGCCTGAACTATATTATTATTCCTTATTCATGTTATAGGAAGGTCTTGAACCCCCCACTGGATCAGGATGTACACCTGTGCATCACATTGAGCACAGTGACACAAAGAATAGAGAGGAAATATTTCCAGGTACAAAGTGGGAAAGATTCCCTGCCCCAAGCCATTGACAGTGATGGGTGAAGTCAGTGGAATTTGTGCCACGTGGTGTGTCTGGAATATTTCTTTAGAACGATCTTATTACACAAGCACTAACACTTACTATAAAACCTTCATACCTGCACTCACCTACAAATGTCTATAATTCTCATATCTTATTTTAAATGACATATCATGACTGAAGGCAAAGTACTTCCCCTATATTTATTCTTTCTACATGCAGTCAGAAGAATCAGATTTTTCCAGCCACCTTCAAAGATCCTGCCTTCAGATAAAAAGCACACGCTATGCAGTGAAAGCAGAAAGCCACCTGCTTGCCAGCCAGACCCTGCCACAAAGAAACCCAATGAATTCTGAGTAAAAGTACTAAATTTGTAGCTGGTTCCTTGTGATTGATCTCTCTGGGACATGATAAGGAATAAGACTGAAAGTTGTCCTCCATTTGGGGAGCTGGCAGACCTCTCTCCTGGTGGGTGCCGTGGGATGAGTTCAGGCTACAGGCTGTGCCTGAATCACAGGGATGTGATCTCGTCTTGTCTTGTGTTTTCATGAAACTCAGAGAAGATGCTCACACTTTTAATATGATCAAGTTCAAAAGCAATTAGGGAGAAAGCTGACAGCCTGACTACACATTTGCTTCACTTCTGGCTAGAAATCCAGGCAGCCAACCCGCCCCCTCGTCCCCATCTACCCACATGTTTTGCAAACACAGGAATTGCTAGAAATGGGATGGGCTGAATCCCCTGCTTCTTGTCTCTGCTGCTTAACTGAAGATAGGAACACCATAAAGCTGAAATCTGCTTGTGCACAACTCGGCAGAGGGAAAAGGGTTTGGCTCCAGCAGTAACTCAATATCTAATTCCTGAAACACTCCTTTTTCAGTGCTGGAGGAGTACTGTCTTTCTGGGACTTTTCGTCATTTTGGCATGCCTGAATTCTCATTTTCTCTCTCTTTTGGACACAGACTACAAACATTAGCATCAATCTCCTCCTCCTTAAAAGAGCACCAAAATTCTCTTAGCATTTTGCAAAGAAGAAATGCCCCAAGGAGTTTACCTAGATAGAGGAAAAGCAGAAATTATTCACATCATAGCCTGTGCTTTAAGTCTCAGAAAGAAACCCCCTTTACTGTCTGTACTGGAAAACATCGCTCTCAAGCATCCCCTAGCCTGAAAAGATTCATCTTTCTGCCTTAGTGTCGTTTGTCTGAGCAAAGTGGGGATGACATTCTAGCAGGCTATCAGCCAGCAAGCCAATCTTTAGTGCCTGCATATCCCCTTAAAAATACTTCTCTGACATGTTCAACCAAGACAACCCGTGTATCCTTTCTCCTGTGTTATTACCATGAAGTCTGTTGCCATATATGGCCACTGAATCGGGCAGAGCCCAGGGAAGGAGGTGCTGGGTGTCTGGGGAGGGCGGCTGCAGGCATTGCTGCTGCAAGAGCAGAGGTACCGCTTGCAAGGGGAGCTGCATCCCCAGCCCAGGTGGTGCAGAGATGCAGACCACACTTTAGACCCTAAATTATGAGAGAAGAGCAATACTATCTAGTGGTGAAAGCAGGGGACCAAGTCTCAGCCCTCCTGGGTTCTGCTCTCAGATCTGCTAGAGCTTGCATTTGTGATTTTAGCCAGCAACTTAAAGAAAACTTATCTCTGAGAAAACACACAAATTAGGATGTTTGTGGTTCTATATTCATAGTTGGGGTATTTTTTTAGATTTACATAAGCATCTGCTTTTTTAAAGTAACATATTGTTTTCCATGGTGCCAGTCACACACACATACTCTGGTTCAAAGCCAGGATGGGGTCCTCTGGCTCTGTCAACACACACTGGCCACAGTCCTGCAGGCTGATCAGAGCTCTAACACGCAGCTCTATCCATCACATCTCCAGGTTACACCCCAAATAGCTCTTACAGCATAATAGAATCATAGAACGGTTTGGGTTGGAAAGGACCTTAAAGATCATCGAGTTCCAGCCCCCCTGCCATGGGCAGGGACACCCTCCACTAGCCCAGGTTGCTCAAAGCCTCATCCAGCCTGGCCGTGAACACCTCCAGGGATGGGGCATCCACAGCTTCTCTGGGCAACTTGTTCCAGTGCTTCACCACCTTCACAGTAAAGAATTTCTTTCTAATATCTAATCTAACTCTATCCTCTTTCAGTTTGAAACCATTACTCCTCATCCTATCACTACACTCTATGATAAAGAGTGCCTCCCCATCTCTCCTGTAGGCCCCCTTTAAGTACTGGAAAGTCTCCCCAGAGCCTTCTCTTGGCTAAACAACCCCAACAATCTCAGCCTGTCCTCATATGGGAGGTGCTCCAGCCCTCTGCTCTTACGCAAACGTACTGACCTTGCTGTTGTTTGAACCGAGGTATCTAAAACCATTTATTTGAGGCAACAGGGGTTTAAGTCCTGGGAGGTTTAATTTAGTTTGCAAAACTTTCACTGCTGGTGATGATGTGCAATGGAGAAAAAACCCACCCTAACTGTCTAGGGACACAGTATGTTCCTGAAGTTACTTATAAACTAACAAAGACTATATGGAAATCACTTGTATCGAGCATGCATCGCCAAACACACTTTTTCCAGTCAGTTTTAAGGCATGATCATTCAGCACTTGACTCTACTCAGCTACAAAATGGAGATAATAACCTCTTTGGGGAACATTACTTAAACTAAGAAAGTAATGTTTGAAGTGTTTTGAGATCTCTAGCTAGAAATTCCCATAGAAAGTAAAACCATCCACACAATGTTTACAGTTTTGTGCTGATTTAAACTGGTAAAAGAAGAGCTCTGTCAGTAGTTTATTCTTCAGTAAAACTCAGTCCACATAAAGACTGGAGCCTAGAAGTTACTTGACTCCCCTCATTACGCTCAGGGCAGTGGAAAAAAAAAAAAGTTTTCAAAGACTTTACGAGAGACAACATGCAGTTATCAGAGGTGGAAACTGGATAGGATAACAAGATTAACAGCCCTGTGACAAGTTTTGCGGGGTCTTTGGATGACTGGATGCAGTCACAACCTTGATTTTCTCCTCTCGTCAGGACAAAAAAAATCCCTCTTATTACAAGTTCAGAGCTGACTGAACATTGTCAAAATGATAGATGCAGAAATGTCTACTTGTGCCTGAAAGAGTCACTGCTCAGTTCCAGACCCTCAGCTGCAAAGATTGCTGCAAAATGGCTGCACACTGTAAAAGGAAGAAAATTTAACATAGGGTGCCTAATGTTAGGGAAAAATTAAAATAGAGGCCAGTAATCCAAAATGATAGATTACCTGTTCTGCATGATAAATCAGAAATACATTTTTGCAGGAGGCAATGCTAAGAGGAAGGCCTTGGGACCAGACACTGTGATATTTCCTTCTTCTACCAGTCTTCTACAAGAAGCTACTTCAGAAGTTAATTTCTTTGGCGTCCATGTATTTTTAATATTAAGAGCAGTTTTCTGTGGCCTGGGCTGAAGATCCCACACACAGAACACATTCATCTGTATGAATGAAGCCACTAAACAAGCATCTTCTTGTAATGTCATGTTCTTAGTAGTCCTTTTATTTTAATGTAGCATTTCCCAGGGATGCTGACAAATAAATGTCGTTTCAACCAGTCCGTTGGATGTGCTGAGACAAACAGGCAGATTTAAGACCTTTCTTGACCACAAACGCACAAAAGCATGCACAGATGCACATATACTCAAGCGCACATGGAAAAAGCTCATGTTTGGGTCACAGTGTGTAACTGCACACATTTTTTCATGTACATTTTTGTGGGAACACTTTAGGACTCAAGTCTGGAAAATTCTACCACTTTATGTTGCACACTATATTACTGCTATGATCTCAGCTCTAGACTGAATTTATACTGGTTACGCTCCTTGCTCTGAGAGCTCAACAGGCTCTTTGGTGACATCAGCTATCTTTTTTTCACCAAGCATTTCTTAGCTGGTAAACCTGAAACTCCCTTTGTGGTTTCCAGTCTAGACTCCAATTTGCACTAGGTTTATCAGCTGGCTTTTTTTGGTGTCATCCTTACAAAAATGGTCTAAAATATTCTGCATATATTTCACATTTGTCTTACAACAGATATTTTAAAATTAATTGCTTAAGTAAACTTATTTTATACCAATTACATCTGACTTAAAAACAAACAATCTGCTTTAGCTTTCATGGGAAAATCTGGCCCCCAAAGCCATTTTGACCTTTTCAGGCTCAAGAGTAAAGCTTTAATTTGACACTTATATATGAGTTCATGAGAAACCGTGGTTCCTGAGTGATAACCTGGCTCCACTGGTATCTATTGGCACAGTTTCTTTAACAGAGAAAGCATCTTATGATTTAAAAATGTGGTTGCAGAGACCTTCCTCATTGTCAGTCTCTGAATCTGCCCCTTTTTGTAACTATAGAAATCACATGTAGGTGACAGAAAGCTGGGAGGGAGGAACCATGCCCATCTGACTGACAGGCAGGTAAAGCACAAAGCACTTCTCCCAAGATGAAGCAGTGACCTCTTTCTCAGCATACAGACTTCCTACACAAAGCCAGACATGATTTTCAGATACTCATTTTAAGTAAGGCTGGAAGGAGCAAAAAATAATTATTTTCATAATAAACCCCCCCCCAAACTTAAATTTTGATACATTTTTAAAAATACAAAACCCGATGCTTTTCTCCTCAAAAAGCTATACTTGAAAACATTGGAGCTGTTGCAAGAGCTGCACAGACCATTTTTGGTTAGCTGCTGGATAGGCGATTTGTACTGTATAGAACAGAGTGCTGCAGCAGTGCTGAGGACTTGGGAGTTGAACATACAGTAGTGCTGCCATGTGCTTGAAAGAGTTTTTAATAGAGAGCTTTGCAGCACAAAGGAACTAAATAAAGTGCTGTCAGACTGTCTCCAAATGGTTTGCAGATAACATACTGCCTGGTCATTCACCCTCGGCACACACAACTTTGTTAACATGCAACTGTACAAAATATTTTTCTTTTTTTTTTTGTTTTGTTTTGTTTTATTAAATTAGCAGCAATGCATTTGGGATACGGAAAAATCTAGCACTGCTTTGTCTGCCTGTGTGTGGAATGCTTTATGTACAATTAAAAAAAAGAAAAAAGAAACCAATTTCTATGAAAGAACGTCCGATAAATGCCAATGAATTCAGCGGTACTTAACCCAAGTTTAGAACATCACAGGAAATAATGCTGCAGTTATTATGATCTAATCACTGCGGAATTCTCTTCTGGAAAGGAATAGGACTTATAAATTTCTTTTCATTCCAATCAGTGTTTTTGAAGCTCTAGGTGAGTTAATGGAACACTTGGATGTCACTAGACTTTAAAACTTAAAACAAGATGCTGATACTAGAAGCCTGTGATTAGTTTCTATTAAAAAGACAACAGAGTGAATTTTATAAGCTATGATCCAAACTTGCAGTCGAAACCAAACACACACACACAAACCGCAGACCCCAAAAGGTATATTCAAATATTGCAAAATAGGAAATGACTGATTTATCTTCCATTTAGTAAACTAGCCCACAGCCGAACTCATACCTTTCAAGCTGCATTTTATGTCTGCCTCTTCTGCAGAAAGACAATCTGCCATCAGGAAATTCCTACGTGTTTAATTTGATTGTATTTGGAAAATAAAATTTACTCTTAGAAAAATAAATACCATATAAGGTTAGACCAGAGCACAGCATGGAGAACGCCTAATGAGTCTTATGCACTCAGACTTTTACATGCATTTAAAAGGCTGGATTTCAAGGTCTTACAACAAGCTACTGAAACTGCAGTGATAGTTTCCCACATTACTTCACTGAGCTCCATATCTGAGACTAGGAAAGTCCAACATAAATACTAGTAATCTGGTTAGGATCTAGAACTGCAGCCCTTGCATTGGGATTTTCCAAATTTGCAGACACTGAACAGAAAGGAGTGGAAGATGACAAAATCCCATTTCTCAGAAGCCTGCATTCCCCAAACAAACCATAACAGATGATGTCCTGCTAAACCAGGATTAGCAAACTTGAACTGACTTATGGAAGCTGAAGGACTTTTCTTCATCCAGAGCAATTCAAACAAGTATCTCCTCAGAGATCATTGTTTTTAAAAATGTGACGGCGATGTTGGTGTGTCCAGTTTTTGCAGGGTAGCCTATGGCAGCTATGCATATACACCACTCCAAAAAGCAACCTGGGAGCCAGCCCCCTCCACCTTAGGGAATATGAACCTTCACCTCACTGCCAGTGTGCCCTAACCACCAAAGCTTACTGGAGAATAAGCTGGAGATGAAGATGGAAGGGAATTTGCCACCTCTCCTCTTGGTGCCAGATTATTGCACAACTTTCAGTGAAAACCATATGCAGCAGCAGCTCCATCAGTTGTGTAATTCCCAGCTTCTGGTAGCCCAAGGAGTTGCTTCAAGGCCTGAACACTAAGTCTGTGTTCCTGCACTCCCAAATTAGGTGGCATTTAAGTGGTCTGGATTTGCCTGAAAGTTACTATCTGTATCTCAGTTTTAAACAGCAACTGAGCAAGCAATGACAGCACTTTGTGGGTGGAAAAGCTCCCAATCAGAAATCCCCCCTTACCTTTAGCCACTGTTCTGCCTGCTCTTTGCTCTGAACTGCCAGGACGAGGGCATCCGCTCCTTGGTGAGAGATTTTCAGCTCATGCTTCTTCTTTTTGCTGTCTTTGGGAATGTATGTGATACTGCAGTCATTCAGGAGAAGCTCCATCTGTGGCTGCTGGTCCTTGGAACTTTTGTAACACTAAATAAATGTGAAGAAAGTTCAAAAGTTAGGTATCACCTTTCTGAACTTTGGGGGAAAGCTGTTATTGTATAGAAATGCTATTTTTAAAATTTTTTAATATTTTTCATGCAGCCCTTTACCACATACCACAGAGATCAGCCAATGCCAGCTTTGCATTTCTCCTCCTCATCCCCTCTGTAAAGCAAAATTACTTCCAGACTGACATTAATAGACATCTTTTATTGCTGGACAGGTACAACATATGGAGAGCATTAAGCTTCTCTACATTATCCTTATGACTCAACCTTGACCTTGATCAAGTAGGAAGAGGGTGATACAGGATATCTGTTCACATGTAGCAGCAGAATAAACTTGTACAGTTAACAACTTTAAAACCCAGATGTTTACTCTGCCCTTCAGCAACAGCCCAGTCTACCAAGACAAATCTACATCAGCACCTACATGCTGCAGTTGCAAAGACACTGGCATATGCCTTACTCATCTGTTCTTTTTCTTGAGACAAATAAAAAAATCATCACAGTGTGGAAATGGGCAAAGTTACACTTTTTCAGCTAATACAGTTTAATAGTCACTGCACAAAACTACATAAATCTCCATCTTAGCTTAATCTGTAAGCTCGTGGCTAAAACTGCATGACTTACCTGATGGGTTTTTCCCCTCATTAGTAATGCTGTCCAATGAACAGCTATTTCATGTTGGATCACTGATGACCTGCTCTAGGTTTGAATTGGTGATCTAAGGATGAAGGGTAACACTTTACATTACTTGTCCTATAGACCTAGTCCCTGTCTTCTAACACACAAGTATAGTCAAGGTTCCTAAAGCTGTTGTAGTGCCAGACTACAGAACAACATTTAACTGTGTGTATGAATGTCCAGTTATTTTATACACTTATGTAAATTGGGCTTTCACTCATACAAATAAGCATGCAAGCGAAAAAGGTACCTGATAATAGAGGTATCTGATAATAAAGAAGGTATCCGGTAATAAAGAAGACTAATTAGTGTATGTATACATAGAACAGCTGAGTATAAATGTGAACAGAGAAAAGCACATGAATATTTGCGTGTATTCATGTCATGATGCAACTGTCAGGAAGACAGTAGCTGTCAAAAGTATGTT